TATATATATATATATATATATATATATATATATATGGACAGCCAAAACAGTAGGAATCTTCCATTATTTATATAAATTACCCACCTTCCAGAGTTCCTATATATATGGGGAAAACCACATGCCAAACCAATAAAATCCTAAATACAATTAATTAATAAATAGACAAATAAATTAATGCACATGAAGACTTTTTTTTATACATTATAGCCTCGTTTTCGTATTCATCTACTATAAACTATAAAGCAATAATATGAGGTATGAAGATTGTTTTTTATAAAATAATAAACCTCTTATTTATTTTTTGATACGCTCCTGAAACACACGAGGAAGGAAATAATTGCTTAATAAACGTGTATGTAACCTAAATAGGATATAATTCAATTCAGCATATGCAATTTATGGCAAAAATAAAATTTGGTTGTGTTTATTTCGTCCCTTCATAATTGTCTAAAAGGAACGGCAAATGATGTCATAGAGAAAATAAAAATATAACAAATAATGTGATAAGAATGGAAGAGAGATACAAGAGAAAAATGTTAATTATTATTTGCTAGTTTTTATAAGTGTACCTGGCCAAATACAAATTTACATGCACCGAGTGGGTCAATCATCTATTGTTAGCATTAGTTTCTAATTGTATGCAGAAAAAAACTTTGTTTTCGTCTCCGTAGATAAAAGGGAACTGAAAAAACCAGAACCAAACAAAGAACACTCAAAGAAATATGGACTCTATAACCTTTGCTTTCTCGAAGTCTCAGCTGGCTTTGTCGGAACTGCAATCTATTCTTCATGCCACAACAACTTAGCTAGTTGCTCCTTCTTCATCACCCCATCAACATTCAACAGCTCCAACCAAGGTCTTGCATCCATTCCATTTCTCTGGTTTGTTTTCATTATGCTTCAACGACTTTGTTATCTTATCTTCACAAAAGGAAATGGGGCTGCAGAATTGGATAAGAAACTTAACCAACTGATTTATTTTTTTTCTTAGATGTTTGTATTCTGGCTTTGAAGAATATGGGTGGAATAAAGTCCTTAACTTTTTTCTTCCCTTTTGAATTTATTCAATTCTTTAGCATTTTGAAAAGGAAAAGGAATGACAGTTAAAATAATTTCTGCTACTAGGCTTTTTGAGATATTCCTCAGAGAAAATTTTGGTTTTTTACAGGTTCTATATACACAAACTCTTATTTTACTCTGCAAATACCAATAAAATAGGTTCCTTTTACATGCAATCTAAGAAAAAGCAAGGCAACAAGAATTGATTTTTATGGGTCCCAATTCTGTTACCAATAAACAAATGAAATTGAGCAGTTAAATCCTTTTTATCCAGACTTTTCTATGCTAAAAATTTTCTCCTACTTTTGGTATGCTTACTGTAAGAAGAAACTATGGCCCACCCTATTGATTTTTTGAGCCAAGGGTGGAAATAATGGGATATTACCAAAGGCGTATCTGATTTCTTTTCTTTTAGCTTCAACCAAACTTGGCGGCATGGCATGATCTAGACTTACTTGGCTCCAGTTTTCATTGAGGTCAACTTTTTCAATCTCCATCTCTCTACATAAAGAATTTCAGATGCACTGTTGGAATTCAAAATTCAGAACAGAGATGAATTTTTCTTCACTAACCTCCTTCAGGATTTAGCCTCTTTTGCTAATGATTCCGAATCTCAAGTCTTCTTGGTCAGAAATTGTCTTTTGTTCCATCACACTGTTTGAAGAATTTCTTACATGTGACTGATGCTTAACTTTTATAAATTTCCAGATTCTGTACTATTATATACATCAAGAGGGATAATTAAGCAGTGTTGAGTTGCGGAATCATATTGCAGAGTTGATGGGGCATTTTTCATCTGCATTCAATAGGTTGGCAAAGTCATTTGCGATGAAGAAAGGGAGAAATTCTAGTGAATGTAATCGGAGAGAAGCTGCAGAAGCAATGGTAAAGGAAGCCAAAAAAAATAACTTCATACTACATAGCTCAGGCACCATTAATGTTGATGGATCAAACAACTTTGCCTCAGTTTTCTCCAAAAAAGGCAAGAAAGGAGTCAATCAGGATTGTTGCGTAGTGTGGGAAGTATGTAGCAATACCATTTTTTCCCCTTGTTATTGCATATACACTTATGTTAGCAATAATTTCTTTGTTAATTAATTGCTTCAGTAACCATTTATGTTCCTTAGATCAACGTGTCTGAGTGTTTATGAGTTGTTGATGTTGATTATAGGAATTTGGGTGCCAAGAGGACATGATCTTCTGTGGGATTTTTGATGGACACGGACCATGGGGTCACTTTGTGGCCAAAAGAGTACGGAAGTCAATGCCACCATCCTTGCTATGCAACTGGCAAGAGACACTTTCCCAAACTTCACTTGATCCAGATGTTGATGTTGATATAGAGACAGAGAAAAAGCAACACCGGTTTAATATATGGAAGCATTCCTACTTGGAGACTTGTGCTGCCATTGATCGAGAACTAAAGCAGAATCGCAAGATAGATTCATTTTACAGCGGAACAACTGCATTGTCAATTGTTAGACAGGTAAAGAGAGAAAATCTTGTCAAAATGGACAAACTTAATCTATTTTCTCAAGTATTTTTTGTGTCATTCTTTAATTAGAATTAGAATTTCACTTTAATAAGATGATTTATACCGACCTTGAATGCAAATCTTTATTACCCGGATTACTAAAAAGTATCATAAGTACCTAACCTAAGAAACTACATATAAATTGTGTTAAGAAAAGATCTGAGTAAGAGTTACACAATTTGCAAAATAAATGTGGTGGTCTCAAGGAACCTTATCTTGATTATGTAATGTGCAGGGTGAACTCATTGTCATTGCAAATGTTGGTGACTCTCGTGCTGTATTAGCTACAGCATCAGATGATGGAAGTATGGTAGCAGTTCAGCTAACAGTAGATTTCAAGCCTAATTTACCTCGTTAGTGTTGCTCATTGTGTTTCCATGTATCATTTTGTCTGTCCATGGAGAAATTATTACGTGGTCCAGGACCATATCTCCATGTGACATTATTAAATCTTTTTCATATATTAAAAAAATGTGGTTACATGTCACGATTGCAGAGGAGGCAGCGCGAATACTCGAGTGCCAAGGACGAGTTTTCTGCTTAGACGACGAGCCGGGGGTGCACAGGGTGTGGTTGCCGGATGAGGAGTCTCCAGGACTTGCCATGTCAAGGGCTTTTGGTGACTACTGCGTCAAAGAGTATGGTCTTATTTCAGTGCCTGAGATAACACACAGGAACATAACCAGCAAAGACCAGTTTGTTGTGCTAGCCACTGATGGGGTATAGTATACACAATTGTCCTTAAAGCTGTTATATGTACATGTTCTGATTGAAATAATTAGCAATATCACATGAAACAAATATAGTCTTGCTGAAAATGTTTGGTTAACTAAAGATGTGTATGTGATTGATTTGTTTTTTTTTTGCATGTGCTAATGTACTATGATATTATATTATAGGTGTGGGATGTAATCTCCAACCAAGAAGCGGTGGATATTGTGTCTTCAACTCCAGACAGAACAGACTCTGCTAAACGTTTGGTAGAGTGTGCAATGCGTGCATGGAAACGCAAGAGGAGGGGCATTGCAATGGATGACATTTCAGCTATTTGTCTCTTCTTTCACTCCTCACCTTCACTTCACCAAGTTGCCACCTTAGAATAGAGAACATTTATTATGTAAAATTGGCAAGTCGAGTGCCACTTGGTGATTGATCCATGTTAACATGGTCGGTCCAATTAAGGTTGATTATTTACAAGTATTGTCCAGTCTCAGTCTCGTTTTTAAATATTTGTTAACCTAATCAATGACGCTTACTCGTTTTTTGTTGGGTGCTATAATTTAATCTTAAAATTATTTAATTAAGAAAATACGAACCCATTTTTTTTAGTTATATAATTTATTTTAAAATTTTAACATAATATTTAAAACTTTACATAATTTTTATTTAATATTTTGTAACTTCTAATTGATTTATGTTGATCTATACTGTTTTATTATTATCTTTCATAATATTGATAAAAGTATTTATTAGCTTTGTGAGAAAATATAATATTAATTTTTTTTTTATCAAATCTAAGACACAAATACAAGTTTTTAAAATTTGAGAATCAATTACAATATTAGTAAACTAACAAACATTAATTTTTATTAATTGATTATACAAAAAAAATTTAAGAGTGTGCACAAATATATACGAATCCAAAATTGAAGTGGATTATATTATAAAATATGATTTATTTCAAGAAAAAAAACTAACTAATTTTATAAAAATAATTAAATTAATTTAATAATTTTTATAAATGGATTGATTTATTTAAAAAAAATCGATTTATATATAAATATAAAGTAGATAATTATACCAAACTAATTCAATTAAAAAAATCTAATTCATATTTTAAAAAATTAGACTGGTCCATCTATTTTGTTTTAAAAAAGAACGGAACAATCAGTTTTTACAAAATTAATTTGATTCTGTTTTAATTTTTCAAAATAAACCCATGAATAGCCGCCATACATGAATTAAAGCGCGAGGTCCTATTTTTTTACTTTTAAAATTTTAATTTACGGTTTTGCCGTTTTTGGAAAAGATCTTGTGGGTCCATCAGAATTAACCTTTTGGAAACGGAATTTTACACAGGAACCAAACTAATAAAGAAAAAATTACATACCCATTCGGTAAATTGAAGAGGTCTTATATAAAAAAATATAATTTTTTCTGTCAAATATCAATGTTTTAATTTTTTTTGATAAGTGATGTTTTAATAAAATAATTACCCGTCTCATTCTGACTATATTTTTTTTTTCTTCATTTAGAATATATTTTTGTCCATAAATAAATAAATAAAATACCAAGGCTGACTTTATCAAAAAAAAATAAAATTATATACTTGTACGTTGTACCAATTCTAAGTCACGCAGAACGGCATATGGTACGCTCCAGAAGAAACAAGGAGGTACAGAGAGCAAGATAACCCTATATAATCTGCAAATTTTTCTATCAAATTTGTTTCAACTTTAGTGAGTAAGTTTCTCCTTCTTCTTTTCTCTTCTTCCAGTGTTCCATTTTTTCCCTCGGTTTCTCTTTCTCAAAGTTTAGTCTCTGTCTCTATTTTATACTGCATAGTAATAAATAAAAAAGTTCACAACATTCATATACATATATAATAAATGACTTCATATCAACAACTTATAACATTGTTGTGAATTAAATAAATGAAATTTTGATCATTTTCCATATTTAACAATGATTTTACCATAATTGTGAAACACCAAAATAACTTTGAAAATCATAAATTAACAATTAATTAATTTAATCCATGAAACTATAATGGAATACATTAAATGATCTTTAAAATAAAAAAAAAATACAAAATATTCCTTAAAATCATGAATTATTAATTAATATTCTTATTTATTTATTATCAAAGAGTAAATTCTGTCGAGGATTTAATAAACTAATAAATGAACATTTATTTTTAATTTTTTTTATTCATAAGAATCAAAATTAAAATCTCTCATCTATCGATCCAAATTAATCTATTTTATTCATCAATGTATAACCCCTCTTCTGTTAGCTAGATTATGATATTTTTGTTGTAAAAAAAATGATATATTAAGTTTTCGGGGACTATCAACAAAATATGCATACAAATTACTATGACAAAAAAGATGAAAATGCTGTAACATTGACAGAATAATAGCCAAATCCTTTCATCTTTACTGATCCTTCACCAATTAGTTTTACATTAGTTTTTAGGTTTAGGAAATATCCCCACAATAACTCTTAAAACTAAGTGGTGATATATAAGTCTGTCCAAGTATAAATTATGAGTACTTTTCAAAGCTTTTATACTCAAAATAAAGAATACTTTTAAGTAAAAAAAAAGTATATACTAATATTCAAACATGTTCTTTATATATACATAATTAAATAGATTATGATAGAGTTAATATGGTGTCATTTTCTTCCAGTTTTTAATGGAAATGAGTAGTTAATTCGAATAATTATGCATCTTTAAGACAATTTTATTTTATATATCATTAAGGTGACATTTTTTCAATGCATATTAAAAAATCAATACAAAACTAATGAAAAAATATTTTGGTCATTTTCATCTTTATAACTTCACAACACACGTGTTTATTTGGTTGCCACATAGACATTAGAGTACTTGACATTTATCAATAATTTATATAAATATAATAATTTAATTTAGTGTACATATTTTTTAAATAATAAAAAATAATATTAAAAATTAATCATTCTTAAAAATATAAAACTTAAACTCAAAATCTTGAGATTTAAAAATCAAATACAACACTAATCAATTTAATAATAGTAATTTTTAAATATTTTTATTAAATAAAATATAAAAATATAAAATATTTCATCACAAAATATAAAATATAAAAGACGAAACACTTTTAGTTCCCCTAATTAAAAAATATAGAATTCTAGTCTTCACATTAAATTTAAACATTTAGTCATATTTAAATAATATAATATTTAATGACATGATATTTGAAAATAAATTTTGTTAAAATATAAAAATAAAATTTATTAATAAAATAAGATTAAACATTTATTAAAATGAATAAAAAAGAAAATATTTTATAAGTTTTTTTTAATATTTTTATTTTTATATATCACGTTATTAAATATTACGTTAAAGTGGTGATATGTTATTATATAATGTTAAAAAATAATTATCAATAAGTATTAAATTAATAATAAGATCAAAATTCTATACTTTAAAAATAAAAATAAAGGACTAAAATGTTTTTATTTCAAAATTCAAAATGTTAAAATTATGGATTGATAAAAATAAAATCATCAAATATATAATTTAATCTTAAAATTATTTAATTAAGAAAATACGAACCCATTTTTTTTAGTTATATAATTTATTTTAAAATTTTAACATAATATTTAAAACTTTACATAATTTTTATTTAATATTTTGTAACTTCTAATTGATTTATGTTGATCTATACTGTTTTATTATTATCTTTCATAATATTGATAAAAGTATTTATTAGCTTTGTGAGAAAATATAATATTAATTTTTTTTTTATCAAATCTAAGACACAAATACAAGTTTTTAAAATTTGAGAATCAATTACAATATTAGTAAACTAACAAACATTAATTTTTATTAATTGATTATACAAAAAAAATTTAAGAGTGTGCACAAATATATACGAATCCAAAATTGAAGTGGATTATATTATAAAATATGATTTATTTCAAGAAAAAAAACTAACTAATTTTATAAAAATAATTAAATTAATTTAATAATTTTTATAAATGGATTGATTTATTTAAAAAAAATCGATTTATATATAAATATAAAGTAGATAATTATACCAAACTAATTCAATTAAAAAAATCTAATTCATATTTTAAAAAATTAGACTGGTCCATCTATTTTGTTTTAAAAAAGAACGGAACAATCAGTTTTTACAAAATTAATTTGATTCTGTTTTAATTTTTCAAAATAAACCCATGAATAGCCGCCATACATGAATTAAAGCGCGAGGTCCTATTTTTTTACTTTTAAAATTTTAATTTACGGTTTTGCCGTTTTTGGAAAAGATCTTGTGGGTCCATCAGAATTAACCTTTTGGAAACGGAATTTTACACAGGAACCAAACTAATAAAGAAAAAATTACATACCCATTCGGTAAATTGAAGAGGTCTTATATAAAAAAATATAATTTTTTCTGTCAAATATCAATGTTTTAATTTTTTTTGATAAGTGATGTTTTAATAAAATAATTACCCGTCTCATTCTGACTATATTTTTTTTTTCTTCATTTAGAATATATTTTTGTCCATAAATAAATAAATAAAATACCAAGGCTGACTTTATCAAAAAAAAATAAAATTATATACTTGTACGTTGTACCAATTCTAAGTCACGCAGAACGGCATATGGTACGCTCCAGAAGAAACAAGGAGGTACAGAGAGCAAGATAACCCTATATAATCTGCAAATTTTTCTATCAAATTTGTTTCAACTTTAGTGAGTAAGTTTCTCCTTCTTCTTTTCTCTTCTTCCAGTGTTCCATTTTTTCCCTCGGTTTCTCTTTCTCAAAGTTTAGTCTCTGTCTCTATTTTATACTGCATGTTTTTTTGCTTGTCATATTCAAAGAAGAAAAAGGGAAAAACAACATATGATTTTTTTTTTTTAATGTTTCTTTTCTGTACTTGTCTCTAAAGGGAATGAAACACCATTTTTTTTCAAAATCACTGTGAAATACGTTGGTTTCTTCAGACGCAAATCAAACACTGTAATAACATTGTACTCAGAGGGTCTAAGTTTTTTTTTTGTAAATAAATGAATTCTGCATAGTTATTAGAGTCTCTGAATTTTGAGTAATAAGCGGGAGCAGAGTGAGAATTGGTGCTCATTAATTTTGTGTTCTAGTTTTCAAGCGCCCTTAGGTTGAGACTTTTTACGCCAAAATGTTTGAAGAGCGATACTACAGCAAGTTTTACCTATTTGAGTCATCGGCATGCTAATGCACAGCGGAGTCACTTAAACAATGTTGTGGAAGCTAGATCAATCTTATATATTGTAAAGATAGGAAAAATGTAGGTTTCAATTTCGTTACATGATTAAGTAAAGTTGGTGTTGCATACGTAGAGGAGCCATTAATTTAAAAGCTTTTAGGTTAGAGATGAGATGATCTTATGAATGTATGAAATTGAGAGTCATGAGGTGCACGCCTGTAATATGGGATCCTCTGATAGTTATCTAACAAGACGCAGCTCTGATTGCAGTTTTGACCAGGGATGGGATTGGAGGAGACTGTAGCA